GTCAGTGGTCAGAAATAATCCCCATGCGTACCTACCAATGTATGTATAAAAGTACATATATATGTATGAACGTATATTTGCATTGTATGTATGTATCTATTTATCATTTTTGAAGGTAGACTTACGGAACAAGGTGATCAATCGACGGTCCACAGACAGAAAATTGATATGTCTGATAGTATTTCTTAGAATTTTTTAATCTACTCTGGTTTTTGCTCATACGTAGTCTTGAAAGACTCTGGCCAGGTCTGGAGTCTTGGAATTTTTTAATCTACTCTGGTTTTTGCTCATACGTAGTCTTGAAAGACTCTGGCCAGGTCTGGAGTCTTGTTTACACGTCGTGAAACATTTCAGGGTCCCATGACTTTCTCCCGCAGATGTTAACCTAGTTAGCGCGAGCTTACTAATACAGAGGGTGTGACCCAACCGTGGATAAAAACTAGACGTTTGTGGGGGAAGAGATGGGTGTGTTCCCTTCAATGTCACTCTCCACACCTGTTGCCCCTTTAGAGAAGGGAGCGAAGGGTATCTTTGATGCTGGTGAAACTGACTCTGGGTGTAAAGTATAATTTGAGCAAGAGACAGGGATGGGAGTTGGAGTTTGGGAAGGACGTGATAAGTGTGGACCAGTAGACCTTCTGCAGTATTTCCTCATTCGTTACGTTCCTCTGCAGTTGGAGATGCCATCCACTTTCTCGGGTCTAACTTGATGGCACCTCTCAGCCAGCTCCCAAGCGATGTGTGACCCATAAGGATTTAGAGCGTTGTAAAACTGCAACAATAACGACCAAAACAACTATAGAAACAACAACCACCGCAGCAATAGCCACAGCAATCACAACAACAACAAAATAATAATAATAATAATAATAATAATAATAATAATAATAATAATAATAATAATAATAATAATAATAATATAATAATAATAATAATAATAATAATAATAATAATAATAATAATAATAATAATAATAATAATAATATGATAATAATAAAAAATAATAATAATAATAATAATAACATTAATTATCAAAATAATGATAATAATAATAATAATAATAATAATAATAATAATAATAATAATAATAATAATAATAATAATAATAATAATAATCATAATAATAATAATCATAATAAAAATAATAATAATAATAATAACATTAATTATAAAAATAATGATAATAATAATAATAATAATAATAATAATAATAATAATAATAATAATAATAAATAATAATAATAATAATAATAATAATAATAATAATAATAATAATAACAGAAATTTCAACTGTCCTGAGTTAACTGTTAAATTTCACGGTCACGAAGCTCTTACTACGCGTTAAGAGTCATCTATTTACAAGTAACTTTACAATAACGAGATACGAACTAGACTGTCACTGTAAATCTTATGTCTAGAAGTAAATTCACTTCGATCTAAATGAGGTAAGTCACTATTATATTAAGAATTATAACTTGCACGAACTGTGTCACTGTAGACTACAAGAACATTTCACCCTCCAGGGATGCAACATTTCACCCTCCACGGAAGCGACATTTCACCCGCCAGGGATGCAACATTTCACCCTCCACGGAAGCAGCATCTCACCCTCCAGAGATACAACATTTCACCCTCCAGGGATGCAACATTTCACACCTCCACGGTAGCAACATTTCACTCTCCAGGGATGCAGTATTTCACACTCCATGGATGCATCATTTCACCCCTCCACATAAGCAACATTTCACCCATCCATGAATGCAACATTTCACCCCTCCAAAGAAGCAACATTTCACCCCTCCATGGATGCAGCATTTCACACTCCATGAATGCAACATTTCACCCCTCCACAGAAGCAACATTTCACCCCTCCATGGATGCAACATTTCACCCCTCCATAGATGCAACATTTCACTCCTCCATGGAAGGTGTGTTCATTTAACGTTACGTACTTGCAAGTCCCTCCCGAGAAGATTATCACCAGTATTCCCTTTCTTAAATCACTTGTATACACAACTGCTGAATAACAAATTTCTGTCTTAACTGTTAGTAATAATTTTCCACAAGTTAATATACACTGATGGATCTAAGCTGGAGTCTCCTGACAGTGATGGGTCTAAGCTGGAGTCTCCCGGCAGGGCTGCATCTAATCTTGTTGCCCACCTCTCTAAGAACTATGCGTCTTAGCTGGAGTCTCCTGGCAGGGCTGCATCTGATCTTGTTGCCACCTCTCTATGAAAGATGGGTCTAAGCTGGAGTCTCCTGGCAGTGATGGGTCTAAACTGGAGTCTCCTGGCAGTGATGGATCTAAGCTGGAGTCTCCGGGCAGTGATGGATCTAAGCAGGAGTCTCCTGGCAGTGATGGGTCTAAGCTGGAGTCTCCTGGCAGGGCTGCATCTGATCTTGTTGCCACCTCTCTAAGAACGATGGGTCTAAGCTGGAGTCTCCCGGCAGGGCTGCATCTAATCTTGTTGCCCACCTCTCTAAGAACGATGCGTCTAAGCTTGAGTCTCCTGGCAGGGCTGCATCTGATCTTGTTGCCACCTCTCTAAGAACGATGGGTCTAAGCTGGAGTCTCCCGGCAGGGCTGCATCTAATCTTGTTGCCCACCTCTCTAAGAACGATGCGTCTAAGCTGGAGTCTCCCGGCAGGGCTGCATCTAATCTTGTTGCCCACCTCTCTAAGAACGATGCGTCTAAGCTGGAGTCTCCCGGCAGGGCTGCATCTAATCTTGTTGCCACCTCTCTAAGAACGATGGGTCTAAGCTGGAGTCTCCCGGCAGGGCTGCATCTAATCTTGTTGCCCACCTCTCTAAGAACGATGCGTCTAAGCTGGAGTCTCCCGGCAGGGCTGCATCTAATCTTGTTGCCACCTCTCTAAGAACGATGCGTCTAAGCTGGAGTCTCCCGGCAGGGCTGCATCTAATCTTGTTGCCCACCTCTCTAAGAACGATGCGTCTAAGCTGGAGTCTCCTGGCAGGGCTGCATCTGATCTTGCTGCCACCTCCTTAAGAACGATGAGAACTTTGTTAAGTCAGGCATAAGAATTAACAACTGGGCGTCTACACTGGAAACTGAATTGTTTGTCATCCTAATAACACAAGTTAACTTACGACACTGCGATTGACTCTGTGGTTATCACTGATTCTGTGTCATCACTGAAGGTTCTTGACTCACATGAGTCTAACAGATTGCTCAGTGGAGAAGTCAGATATACACAGATACTCAAAAATTCGGGAAAAGGGAATTAATGTACAATTGTTATGGATTTCATTAGACATTGAAGGAAAATATAGAGTATAACTTTGTTGTGTCTGTGTCTAGCATTAGGGATAATATTAGGAGAGAAGTGAACAATGAAAATGATTGTTATAGGAATGTAGTTAGAAGCCTGAGTAGATCTATAACCCACTATGATAACATGAACATAGATAAGTATGTTTATGGAGCAACTTGCAGTGTGAACACTGACTGATATTTTAGTGGCCAGGCTTAGGCTTGGTTACAAGTACTTCTGGCAGTCTGGCAGACACACAGACTGACTGATGTTATAGTGGCCAGGCTTAGGCTTGGTTACAAGTACTTCTGGCAGTCTGGCAGACACACAGACTGACTGATGTTATAGTGGCCAAGCTTAGGCTTGGTTACAAGTACTTCTGGCAGTCTGGCAGACACACAGACTGACTGATGTTATAGTGGCCAGGCTTAGGCTTGGTTACAAGTACTTCTGGCAGTCTGGCAGACACACAGACTGACTGATGTTATAGTGGCCAAGCTTAGGCTTGGTTACAAGTACTTCTGACAGTTTAGGAGACACACAGATGATCAAACCAAACCTAAGTGTCCACTTTTTGAGCAATATATTGATAGACAGTATAATAACCTATGTGATATGTCAAGATATCTTATCAATGAAAATAAGATACAAGATATATTAAGCAAATTTCCGAATTTTGCTTGCAACAGATAAGTGAACAGTACTCCTGTAAAAACCCTTTGGGTCCTAGTTCCTGGGCCTTTTGTGTATCCATACGTTCTTGCGCTACCCTCCACAGAATGGATTTGTAATGCACAGTACACTAGCCACTTCAGTGGCTAGTACCTGCAGTGGGCATAGCAAAGATGGTTTACAAAGACGGTTTACAAAGATGGTTTACAAAGATGGTTTACAGGTGTAACATCTTACTCTATTGAAGTTTTCCTTTCTGCAGTAAAGAGTTTTATTTGTTGGAACTGATTCTCAGTTTAGCAAGGAAACTTTAGAGGGCATTTCGGTCTGTTTAATGACCATTATCAGATTGTGCAGTGTAGTTTATACAATGGGGAACTGCAGTAGATTTTGTGTCTGTGTTCATCTAGACATTAAATCTATTTTCATAGACCTAGAGTTTAGTTATAGGAAGGTTAGCCTCGATGTAAACAGTGAAATTCTTTGCTGTCTACTCTTCTTATCTACTACACCATTTTCTTCAGTGTACTATCTGTACTTTCATGTACTCCGGTGTACTCCCCGTACTCTACACTATTTGTGACCGTCACCACCTGCCCTGTGAAGGTTCTGTGCACCAGCTGTAGCCTTATCTATGTAACTTTGAGCCGAGATGTAAATACTCTGTGAGATGCTGTGACATCTGTCTCTGTGGTCACAATACCCCACAATACCCCTCCACCCACAATACCTCTACTCACAAAACTACCCTGAGCAATAAACGCAATACATACACCCACAATACTCCGCCTACAATGCTACCCTTCCCCTGGGTAATAAATGCGATACCTTCGGCTATCTTAGTGTCTCACGTATTAACGCCTCCCACAATATCCCCAGCCACGTTTCCTCCCCACGATACCACCCTGGGCGAAACACGCAATACCCTGCTCCATATTCCACATTCTTGTCCGTTCCATCTCTCCAAATTCTCACAAAAACTCGTTCCTCTCAACCACACTGAAACAGATATAAATAAGGCAGATTTCGACCGTCTCACAGTCAAGATTCGTCTCTCAGACGTAACACAATGAATTCAAAGGTATAGATTGCCTCTCTTATTGCTCCTGATATCTATATAGATCTTGCTAACTATACACTACGTGGTATAGATTTCTTGTTATGTCTCTTTTTGATTTGAATACACATCTCGCTATCTGCCTAGTATTTAAAGACAGATATCAGATATTTTTTCTAACAGGCATACTTGCAACTTGTAAAGCACTTGAACGTATACACACACACACACACAGACTCACACACACACACACACACACACACACACACACACACACACACACACACACACACACACACACACACACACACACACACACACACACACACACACACACACACACACACACACACACACACACACACACACACACACACACACACACACACACACACACACACACACATATATATATATATATATATATATATATATATATATATATATATATATATATATATATATATATATATACATACCTCTTGCAATTTATATATAGGTTATATGTACTTATTTGCTAAGAAACGTGAGAATTTTAAATTCTTCTGTTTTCAAAATTTCAGATTTTGCTGGTGTTGTGCCTGACAGCTGTTGCTGTGGCAGACAAGAGACCTTCCTTCACTTATGGACCTCCAAGGGTAATATATATGTATAATGAAACATTATTCTCCTTACTTTTTAACTGGTTGGGAAATCCATACTAGCATTCTAGATACTCATGTATCAGTCTGGTTATTGATCTAGGAAAATAACTTTTCCTGTTCTAGGAGGAGCAAGAGTTCTAGATCATTTTCTAGGGGAACTAGAGGAATTAGCTATAATATTTCTTGTATGGATTCGCAACATAATTTTTTTTATCTTTGCTGATAAGCAAATATCCTTTTGAAAATAGATAATTTTTAATGTAAGGAGAAAATATTTCTGTTTAAAATAAGATTAAATTCACTCAGGAATAATGTCAACGATTTTCAATGCTAAAAATATTTGTAGAAGGGTTCTGAGGATGCATGGATGTTATGGATAACTTAGGATAACTTAGGATAATCCAGGATAACTTAGGATAATCTACGATAATCCACGATAACTTAGGATAAGGTTGACCCTTTTCCATTGAGATAGTTAACGTTGCTGCAATATTTTTTAGGGTTCTTCTGAGGAATCTGGTCCAGCTCAGTACAACTTCAACTGGGCTGTCGATGACGACCCCTCAGGCAACGAGTTCGGTCACCAGGAGAGCCGCGACAACGACAACACCAAGGGGTCGTACAGCGTACAGCTCCCCGATGGTCGTCTCCAGACTGTGACTTACTACGTGGACGGTGACTCAGGCTACGTGGCTGACGTCCAGTACCAGGGAGAAGCTCGCTACCCTGACTCTGACGAAGTCAGGGCCTACGCCCCTCCAAGACCAACATATGGATAAGACCATCTCTCAGATCAACATATGGATAAGACAATCTCTCAGATCAACATATGGATAAGACCATCTCTCAGATCAACATATGGATAAGACCAACTCTCAGACCATCATACGGTTAGGAGCATCTCTTAAGAGAGCGTATTATATAGCCCACCAGACTAACATACTGATAATAAATTCTCTAAAGTCAAGGGAAACCTACTGATTAGCATATATTGTAATGTAATATCTAGGGACCAATGTGTATATGTAATTATTTATTTACTTCTTAATAATGCAATTAAATCAAATTCACTGCCAAAAGCCTTTTTGTCTGATTCCTCGAGAACTGCAGTTGATTTACAATACTAAGAACTGCTACTGATTTACACACAACACTAGGAACTGCTACTGATTTACACACAACACTAGGAACTGCTACTGATTTACACACAACACTAGGGACTGCTACTGATTTACACACAACACTAGGAACTGCTACTGATTTACACACAACACTAGGGACTGCTACTGATTTACACACAAAACTAGGAAACTGTACTGATTTTCACACAACCTAGGGAAATGCTACTGATTTACACACAACACTAGGCACTGCTACTGATTTACACACAACACTAGGGACTGCTACTGATTTACACACAACACTAGGAACTGCTACTGATTTAAAACAAAAACTAGGCACTGCTACTGATTTACACACAACACTAGGGGCTGCTACTAATTTACACACACACTAGGCACTGCTACTGATTTACACCCCAACGCTAGGAACTGCTAAATGATTTACACACAACACTAGGAATGCTACTGATTTACAACAACACAAGGACTGCTACTGATTTACACACAACACAAGGGACTGCTATGATTTACACACAACACAAGGGACGCTACTGAAATTTTCACACAACACTAGGGACTGCTACTGATTTACACACAACACTAGGGATGCTACTGATTTTCACACAACACAAGGGGACTGCTACTGATTTACACACAACACTAGGGACTGCTACTGATTTACACACAACACAAGGGACTGCTACTGATTTACACACAACACTAGGAACTG